AATGAGTGATGTCTGAACTCTTGATTCAAATAATGAATTTACGTTTATCCATCGAACAGTTGGTTTTTTCAAACCTGAGCCAACATGACGATGATGTTTATTCATAGATTTGATTAAGAACCTCATTCGTTTGAGCTCACCAATCTTCGTTTGTATTTTTCGCTTCTGCCCAATTGAAAAATTGATTTTTTTTGTAGCCAAAATACATTTTCTGATATGCGAGTTTATTGACTTGAGAGCAAATAACGCTTGTGATTTGGAATAATTTGTTTTAATCGCTAAGAGTGTCTCATCGATTTTAGTGAGAGTTTTATTGAAATTTTCCATGATTGTGTTATGTCAATATATTTTTTTCGAAAAAATGTTACTCACTCTATTTATTTTCGATGATCTCGAATGATGCTGCCGGGTGCTGTTTTCCCACGTTGATGGTTCCTCGATATATCAGGGAATATTTCCCTGGGGTGAATTGTCCTACGTGGGGCTCGTAGATTGCTGTCACCCGATTTGGCAGAAACACCACTGCGTCCTCCAACTCCAGTAGAACCGCCTTCCCAAATCGAGTGTTCGTTATTCTAGCCCCTTCTATGGAATTCGGTTGCCCCAAGGAAAGATCCGTGAGCTTCCTGATATTCTTTCTTTCCGCCACAAGGGAAGCTTTGTTTAATGATGCGATATCCATCTGGAGGAGAGAATGAGATAAAAAAGTATTTTTTCTACATTTAAAAACTCAAAATGAGATGTCAAATTGTGGAATTATTCTCAAAAACTCAAAATGGAATGACAAAAGGTCTATAATATACGCAGAAATGTGAAATTATTTTTTTAAACCCCGAAATGGATTGACAAAAGGTCTATAACATTTGCAAAAACTCAAAATTGAATGAAAAAGGCAGCTATATACGTGGAATCGAGAATACAAATTCAAAAAGGTCTATAATATACGTAGGATTCAGAGTGCAAATGAACACTTTGTCAAATTGTGGAATTATTTTCAGAAAAACTCAAAATGGAATGACAAAAAGCCTATAATATACGCAGAATTGTGAAATTATTTCCAAAACCTCGAGATGGATTGACAAAAGGTCTATAACATTTGCAAAAACTCGAAATTAAATGAAAAAGGCAGCTATATCCGCGGAATTGAGAATACAAATTGAAAAAGGTCTATAATATACGTAGGATTCAGAGTATTAATGAACACTTTAATATAAAAAAGTACTTACTATTTTCGGCGGTGTGGACGAACAAGTTTATTTATATTGTGTAATGTTGGCTGACTAGGCTGACTTGGCTGACTGCGCTCACTGATGAACTGAATGCTGTTGCTGCGCGTCAGGCAGTTTTATAATCAGAGAGCGTGGGTATAGAGAGAGAGTGGACATGCGGCATTGGCATGTTAATTAGAATGCTGCGCGCCTCGCAGTTTCTTTTTTTATCGTCTGAATGCGTGGGTATAGAGAGAGCGGATATGTGGTATGTTATTAAGTGGAATATAAATGCGCATATTAAAACTGATTAGCAATCTCGAGATATCGCCGCTAATGGCCAAACGGAATAATAAACATCTTGCCACATGTGCTGGAAGCTATCGAGGTTATCTGAACTGTTGGAAGAAAAAATTCCCCGCTGTATTATAATTAGAAAGCAAGGACAAAGAGATCGTAAACATGTGGCGTCTTCATGGGAATACAACTGCGATACGTAGACTGCGATAATATATTCTCATGTCAGAAAAACCCATTAAAATTCTTGCACAATCTTGCGAACGAAATAACAGCCTTCAGCCATATGATATGAGATTTTTTATTCAATAATATACAGACAAGATTGAGCTTGTTTCTCGTCATTTTCTACAGAGAAGTTGTACGATTTTAATTAATATTATTCCAATTAGAAATGCTAAATTGATAAATGAGAAAATATTCAACATAGCAAATGATTTTCCATAGTCCGCTGGTGGTGCTAATGTTGGTATTGGTGATGAGAATCCAAAAAACTGCCATTGATTTGAGTCGCCAAAGGTCCTATCGTTGAAAATCAATCTGATTTTATATTTCGTCTCGTTCTCTGGTACTTGCATTGAAAACACTTCCATTTGCCCGTCATTGATGAATCCTTTTCGCATAGCAATCCACTGGCATGGCTCATTATTGAAACAAATTCCTGCTTCGCTAACCTTGCTCGGTACATTCATATACAGAATGTCTCCCATCATTGAAAACAGCAATACAAATGATGCTCTCAAAATAGCCATATTTTTTTCGTTGCAGTTGATAAAGGTATACTTCTAGTACTAATAACGTCTTCCAATAGAGTAATTTTCGAGAAATTTCGAATCATCAGCTGTTTGTCTTCGAATCGTTTTATTGCTACGTCAAGTTCTTTTATTTTCTTCTGGAATTCCTCCAACTGACGTTTGAACTCTGTCGCAGACATCTGAAAACTGTCACAAAACATTCGACTATTCCATTTTTGCATCTCGATTCACATGCGCAGACGCAGTAACTGAAATGTCTGCATTTTCTGCATGCCATTCCATCAACTACGTCATTGTGATCAGATATGATGAAACACTTTTTTCTGCAGCAATATCTTTTCAACGTTTTAGGACAATCATATTCATACGAAGCTCCCATCATTGATGAAGGCTTAGTGGAAATAGCGCCTCAACTACTGATGATCAAAGATTTATACCTATCCGTTTGTTTTCAAAATCCGATTCTTTGGACAATCCGTTTCGTATTTTCTCGTATTTTCATAACAAAGAGCGCTTGGCTTTCGCGGCGAGGTCTAGAGCACAGAAAGTATCATATTTATTTCAGTCTACCAATTGACGTGAAACTAGAAGCATCTGAATTTTTTTAACTTTGCTCGAATTGGGAAAAAAATGAAGTCTGAAGTAGCTGTGCTCTTGGAGTTCCTAAAATCTCCCGCTCTGACTCTGACGAAATTCACCGAACAAGAATTGCAGTACATTCCCGTAGAATGTCTCATTGATTATGCAGATCCTTGTGGGTTATTAAGGGTGTGGCACAAACTTCCCAATGAATATCGCTGCAACTTTAACCTACAAATCAAGCTGCCATGCTTTGTTCATTATAATCGTCCCGATTGGACTACACACTGGGATGGACCACCATCTTCTCAAGAAACTTGCCATTACTGTAGAAAAGCATTACTATAAAATAAATTAATTCGATAATATTCTATTGTTTTTTATCATTCTTGCACTCCATACATCATATCTCAAATGCCATCTGCCATACGTCATTTTTTCTCCTAACAAGGTTCTGATGTGTGAAAACGGAGCAATATCCGATTTTTTCAAACGTCCGACAATGATGTAGCGCACCGCGCGCAACGTCCGGCAACCCTGCACTGTCGCATCTATCGCTTGCTGCTCTGCTGGCGGTCTGCCGGTCGGCGTGAATGCCGTCGCTCTGCGTATTACACTTTCAACTCGTAACAATTTCTGTCTAGTGGTATAGCGCTATGGTAGCGTATCGGGCTCTCAGTCCGTTGGCCGGGGATCGAATCCCCGAGTTGTGACACCAGCTTTTTTTTATTTAATTCCAAATTCAGATTGAAACAAAATTACGTCACGAAAAATATTATAAATACAAACCATCCAGTATTTGAATTTGCCGCCGCCCGTAATACAGCGAACATTCGCAGCGACACTAGCGACACCACGACATCTGGTGAGCTTTTGCGGCGGCACTGCGCGTCAACCGGCCTAGCTGTACTACTTTGGTCCTGAATTAGATCCTTTCTGTTTCGTATATTTAGATGGCGTCATTATTGCGACGCCTACTTCCGAGAAACATATCGACATTTTGAGTTCTGTATTCGGGAGACTTGAGAATGCCGAGTTGACGATTAATTTGGAGAAATGTAATTTCTGTCGTCCAAGTTCAAAGTATTTAGGATTCATGGTAGATCGTGAGGGATTACGTACTGATCCCGATAAAATCAAATCAATGTTAGAGTATCCAGTACCCAAGACAGCTACGGAGGTAAAACGTTTCATAGGTCTAATTAGTACGAAAGCGTAGAACGGACATGAGATATTTTTTTTTCTTAATTTCGAGTTATTACTCGAAATTAGCTTCATTTCGTGTTACAACTCGAAATTAGCTTCATTCCGAGTTATAATTCGAAATTAGTACTAATTTCGTGTTACAACTCGAAATTACCTTAATTTGGAGTTATTACTCGAGATTAGTGCTAATTTCGTGTTACAACTCGAAATTAGCTTAATTTCAAGTTATAACATCGTGTTGATGAGTCACGTATTGCACGGAATTGTACAAAATAGGATTTGTTTCAACCATCTTCAGATTTATTTGATGGTATTGCGCGAGAATGGTTCAGATCTCAATCTCGACAAAATCGTTTTAACTCTTGGGATTCATTAGTATACGCCCTTTAGATAGACTTTTTGCCATCAGATTATGATGATCAACTTGAGAAGGAGAAGGAATAAATGAAACTATGTAATAATAATTCTTTAAAATTTAATAATCATAACTTATAATCCAAAACGGTAGATAATGATGAACTCAACCTGCGAAAAAAAATGTATATAGTGATTATCAAAAAAAAGAGAAAAAAAGGAAATGTTACCTTGACAGACATTTGCGGCGGGAAATGAAGGAACAGAGGACAAAAGGATTCTTGATGGTGTATGAATCAAGAATATTGAAATGGATGTTGAAATAAGTGTGTCACGTTGTTGGTAAGTAAGGGTTGATATATTTGCTGTCGTCGTCGTCGTTGTCAGTGTCGTAAATAATTGGAATAGTATTACGTTTACGTCCTTGTCTTTGTAGTGTGCGTGCATGTAAAGTCGTTTCGTTGCCGATTCGGGCAGTCCTTCCGGCGATACCAGAAGTATCTGGTCGTTCGTGACTAGCACGTCTTTTAGGTAATTCTGATATCGCAGAAAATGCTGTCGGAGGCAGCGGTTTGATGAACACTAATCTCGCGTCCTGATCCTAATTTACATCATCATCCAAATCTTTCAACGTCTCTTCGTCGATAACACCTCGTCTAGATGATGATGATGATGGAGAATTAATGACGATACAGCTTTGACGACGTTTTCGAGAAATGTTTGGAGCATTATCTTTCTCGATCATATCAATGAAGCGATTGAGTTCTTCATTGATATGGCGAGGAAGATCACTCTCGAAATTCTCGAACCCGTCGTCAAGATTGTTGTCGTCATCAATTTTTCGTTTTTTATTGACGATATTGTCTTCGCCCTGATTTCCTAAAATAACCTGTCGATAATCACGTCGTTTAACAGGGCGAAGACAAATATCGTCATTTTCGTTTGATGGCACCACTAATGGTGGTGGTGGAAGTAAATCTATACAAAATGGTGCCGGAGTTGGCACGGATGAAATATTATCCGTGCCAACGACATCGATATTATTATTAACATTTATATCATCTTGATGAGATATTATCGACGGATAGACAATGTTTCTCGTAAAATAACGCTTCCTGTATTTGAAAGATCCTTGTTTGGCGGAATTCTTCATGAATACCTTCACTCTGTCAGGACAACCTACGCGGCTGAGTGCCACGTAGAGTTGTCCATGAGCGAAGCAAGGCATTTCCAGGCAAATTCCCACCTTCTTGAATGTTTGTCCTTGCGCCTTGTTTATCGTCATTGCAAACGCCACACGTATTGGGAATTGATTGCGATGCACCGTTCCCGGTAAGAACGTAACGTTCTCAGCGGCGGTCAAATTCATGCGTGGGAGAAATATATCATTTCCCCTACTCGCTTCGACGCCGCCTGTCAGAATTCGCGCTCTCACCAAATTATCGCCCAAGGAGGTGATGCGTAGTCGTGTGCCGTTGCACAATCCGTTAGTTATGTCGATATTTCGAAGAAGCATGACTACGCATCCCTTCTTGAGCGACAATCCGTGTGGCGGAAGACCAGCGACGTTGAGACCGTGTAAGTATTCGTCCGGTACATGAAAATCGTCCTGGTTTTCCTCTGTCAGCTTTACAAATTTGTCAGTGCTAAAATAACTTCGACTTTGGGTCGTCAATCTGTTCAAGACTGTCGCATTTACGTTATTCACTGCCTTGTTTGTAGGACACAAGATGGCGTTGTCGGCAAGTGAATGAGTTGCTTCTGCCGGATCTTATGGTCCGCAACCATATACTTGATCGACAAGGTTCTTGATGTCAGCGACCATATGTCGTGATGGAATTTCGACGAGGTCAGTAGGAGAGAACGCGAGCGGCATCTTGACGTGGGGTAGCTCGTCGTTTCCGACTTTCAGTAAGAAAGCGGCAAAGCTCGCCATATCCTCCGATCGACTGGCGGCGGCACCGCTGCCGTTGCCTTCGTCATTTTGTAGAGCCAACTCCGCTGCCGCCGCTTTTACGCGTAGATTCTCTGTGAGTCGGTAGATCCGTACCATAGGCCACATGTATGAAGATTTTAACGATGCTCTCAGAATTTCCCCGCTATGCTCACGGGGGATAACGGGCAATAATTGACGAAAGTCGCCGCCAAAAACGACTATTTTACCCCCCATGGGTATACCGGGGGCATTCATGAGGTCTTGTAGGTACCGATCTACCGCCTCGACGGCCAATCTAGGCGTCATCGGAGCCTCGTCCCACAAAATGACGGGAGCCTCTCGGATGATGCGAGCTTTGTCGCTTTCTACCGGCCACGCCGGAATAGAATCTTCATTCAATTTTAGTGGCAACTTGAACGCAGAATGTACGGTGGTGCCCTTGGATAAAAGGGTAGCCGCAATTCCGGTCCAAGCTACCGCTATAATTGGTTTCCCAAAGTCTCGGCGTATTTTACCAATTATACAATTGTAGAGAAAAGTCCTCCCAGTACCGCCAGGACCGTCTATGAAAAATAAATTTTGATAGGGATACGGAAACGGCGGCCTATTGGCGGCTACCGTCGTCGTTCCGTATCCTCAGGCCGAAAGTGTTTGCAATGTTTCAAAAATCAAATATTAATTTTTGACCCTTATTCAAGAATTTTAAGTTATCAATCAATAAATCGTCCCCCAGAATAAGCCCACCCCTCGCGTCGCGGTCGACGGCATTGTGCGTTACTAACAAATTCTTAAAAACCCTCCCTTCATTCCTAAAAAACTCGTCGGCGTTAACGATGACATTCTTGAAAATGTCATCGTTCACGTCGACGACTGGCAATCCAAAATCGGCCATAGTGAATCGGTCGCCGCCGAGGGCGCATCTACCGATGACAGTGGACACGTGGTACAGTGCCATCCGTTCGGCAACTTCCGACTCGTCAACACCATGGTCCATAAAATCAGAAATTAAATCGTTTCTATGATTCCGCCACATTGTTGCGATGCCGTCGTTATTCCCGTCCCTGTCAGTCATTATCATGCAAGATAATAGACCGAACAGTTGACGGGACATGAACGGACATCGCACCAATATGGCTTCCTCAAGAGCCCGATTGTATTCATCGAGGTTTCGGAGTAGTCCCATGGCGTGACAGGCCGACTTGAAATCAGGACAAACGACACCGTCGACGGTGCGCAAGTTCGTGAAGCTTGTCGCACCCCCCACGTGTTGCAGCAACATCCGTAGATAAAAGCGAGTTTGGTCACCGGGACTTGCGTGAGCGAGTTGACCGATGACTTTGCTCGCTTTCTTGCGGCGTTGCCACATCGATTTCGCGCCATTCCACGAATAACGTTCTGGAATTTCTACATATCTCAAAAGTCTCGCCTCAGGATCGTTACGGTTCAGATTGAAATAGTCGATCAACTTCGTGTTTTTGGTAGCTCTATCCACTATCTCATTCTCCGTGTCTCGGTACTCGACGAAAATGACTTGATGGTCATTTTCGGCGTGTACCGGTAACACCGAAACGCTATGGGACTTGTCTGTTATTTTAAATTCGAACAAACGCCAGCATGCTTCGAGGGCCCCCACACAATGCTTAATTTCATCCCAATTGATAATGGGTTGGGGCCCTCTACGACAACGACGACGACGACGATGATGACGACCATCGCCAGGATGATTATCGTGTTCGTCGTCACCACCGACGCGGGTGATTGGGTCGTCGTCGTCGTCGTCGTCGCTGCCTGCTGACGCATTATCATCAACTACAACAACATTCCTATTATCAACAGCCGACTCAACGTTATCGTTATTACGATTTATAATTTCTAGTGGATTATCAGCCGGCGGTTGATAATTCGGATCCGCATTGTTTCGTATGGGAGAATAAGACAGTGGAGCTGGTAAAACATCATCATTATTCTCGTTGGCCGCCTTCGTAGAAACATCAGCATGCTGTACGGAAATGTAATCTGGCTCTTTCTCCACGTACTTGTGGAGGTACCTAATGGATCGCAGACTTCCGCATAACTCGACATCAATGTGACAATTGTATTTACACAATAATAGTTTATTGTACGGTACGACAGATCTGTTATCCATTAGGTGACCGTTCAGCACAAAATTGCGACCGTTATCCGGTCGCTCATATTCCGGCTGCCCCAAGCGGTTGGCGTCGCCGCTCAAGCGAGTACTTTCCCTAAATGTTTTGGGAAAAAATTTGCCGCAGCGACCGTCAACAATTATGGATATTTTCTTCATATTCCATGTGATTTATATATTATTGTGTTTATAATTATAAGTTTTTCGAAATAAAATAATAAAAATAGGAAGAATTTCATCGATTTTATTCATTATCGTCAGCCATATTGGATCACCCATCTTGAATTTTCAAATTTTGACGAAAGAATCATAATCTCCGACCCCGAGAACCCCCAATACAAAATTTGAATGAATTCGGATAATTATCATAAAACTCGTCCGCCATATTAGATCCCCCATTTCGAATATTCAAACTTTGAAGAAAGAATCATAATCTCCGACCCCAAAGACCCCCAGATACCAAATTTGAATGAATTCGGATAATATTCATATTTGTCCACCATATTGGCCGCCATCTTGAATTTTCAAATTTTGACAGAAGAATCATAATCTCCGACCCCGAAAACCCCCAGATACCAATTTTGAATAGAAACGGGTCATTATTAATTGAATTATTGAAAAAAAATCTAATATTTTAACGAGGCGAATCAAGTTTTTTTCGTCCTTAAAAAAAAAAAGTAAGAATCCGGGATTTTTATGGTGGCAATGTATTAGTTGAATTTTTGTGAGAAATTTTTTATCATGAAATTTTTACCCCCTCCCTTCCGCTAAAAATGTTTCGTAGTGAACTACCATATTGAAAGGAGAACAAAAAATTTTACATGAAGAAAAATGATTGTCAGGAAGAGAGAAATCGGGTGGAATTTTTCCGATTTTTTTAACCATTTTGAATTTTTAACGAGGCGAAGATTTATCATGTTTTTCACCCTTATAAAAAAAAAACCGTTCGGTCGTATCTATAATATTAGTATTTTTAAGAAAGGTTTTTAAAAAGAATGTTTGGGAATTTTGAAAAAAAAATTCGACTTTGAACGTTGATAACTTTGTCATTTTCAAAGTCAAAGCGACGAGAATTCAGGTGAATATTATTTGAAGAATCCTCTTTCGATTGGCGTCAATCAAATGTTTGCAACTATAATAGTTTGTGAGATAAAAATTGAAGAAAGTATCGATGCACGAATTTTTTTTTCGTCAAAAAATCGTCAACTTTGACAGTGAATATCTCGGAAACTATCGGAGATGTCGTCGATTTGAAACCGTAGTTTTGCTCGGTTCGTCGAAATCTATCTAAATTGTCCGGTCGCGATCGATTATCTCGAAAATTGCAGATTCCACAGCATCTCACGAAATTTCTCACGAAATTTTGTCGATTTCTGACAGGTGTGTCAAAAAATTCTGAAAAAAATCTATTATACGTATTCAAAGACGTAGAATAGAATGCGCATAATGACGATTCTATGAAATTGATATTTGAAGTATTTTTCATTTTTTTTTTTTCAAATTTTTTTTTTTGCTCATCAGTACCAATAGATTTATGTATTCATTGATAGAATATGATATTTACTGTTGAGTTTTTGGGAAAAATGATTCTAACTCATCTACTATGATATTTATGAAGGTGTAAAACGCGTAGTAAGTTGACCTTGACCTTGAAAATTGGAAAAATTGAAATTTTCTGCTCGTCAATAATTAAAAAAAAAATGAAAATTTTTTCGTTCAGTGAAATTTTTTTATATATATACATCTAATGCCAAATATAGCTTGAATGTGGGCGAGGACGGGTATTCTCGCGTGTAGTAAAGGTAAGAATGTGATTTTTTCAGATTGCGTGATCGGTAGAGCTATTTTGCTTCATTTTGAAATGTGCGAAATATAGCTTGAATGTGAGCGAGAACGGGGGTTATCTCGCGTGTGGTAAAGGCAAGAATGTGTTTTTTCAGATTGCGTGATCGGTAGAGCTATTTTGCTTCACATTTTGAAATGTGCGAAATATAGCTTGAATGTGAGCGAGAACGGGGGTATCCTCGCGTGTGGGTAAGGGAAAAGAGGTACGTATCGATTTTGAAAGTGTGAAAATTTTAATTTTCTCGACGGTAAATTATAGGTGACATTATTTATGAGAAAAAATTCCTATGAAATTCCTATGAAATTTTTCGAAATTGTGTCATCGAAAATTGGAAAATTTCCCGAAAAATTCGTCCAAATCGAATTTTCTCGACGGCATCGTGAATCGTAAGTAATTTGTAGACTTTTTTGAGGAGTAAATTTTTTTTCGAAAAATGAAAAGAAGAAAAAAAAATGGTATTCTAAAATACGATCCGATCGTCGCGAAAATATTTTTAAACGATTTTTCTCGATCAATTAGGTACCCTACCGCCTTTTTTTTTCTTCTTGAAAAGTTGCTTTTTTTTTAATTAATTTTTTAAACTTTTTCATAAACATTCTTCCAATTCGATGAACTGATTTTTGTTAAACTAAATCGACCCTTGCGGTTACGGGAAAAATAACGGTTTTCTAAAATTCGGAAATTTTTTTTTTTTTAGTTGACCCCTTTTTAAAAATTTCTTTGCACTTTTGAACTTTTCGCGAAAAAATAGTCGACACGTGTTTTTTCTTTTTTTTTCTACTGCGTAAGATGGTCCCAGCTCATGTTCTCTGTTAGTGGGTGTGACAATCCGACGCTTGGCTAATTCTGCTTCGCAATGATAGGAAGAGCCGACATCGAAAGATCAAAAAGCGACGTCGCTATGAACGCTTGGCCGCCACAAGCCAGTTATCCCTGTAGTAACTTTTCTGACACCTCTTGCTGAAAACTCTTCAAGCCAAAAGGATCGATAGGCCTTGCTTTCGCAGTCCCTATGCGTACTGAACATCGGGATCAAGCCAGCTTTTGCCCTTTTGCTCTACGCGAGGTTTCTGTCCTCGCTGAGCTGGCCTTAGGACACCTGCGTTATTCTTTGACAGATGTACCGCCCCAGTCAAACTCTCCGCCTGGCATTGTCCTCGAATCGAATCAGGCTGGAGGTAAATTGACGCACGACACGAAGCTCACAGACAAAGGCCGCACGATCGGCGCGAACCGGTCGCACGAAACCAGCGCCGGCGCGACGCGACGAAACGCCACTCCGTGCCCTTGGCTCGAGAATACCGTGACAGTCGCCGCCTCGTGAGCAAACGACGCACGCGTTTCGCCTTACCGAGTAAGTAAAGAAACTATGAAAGTAGTGGTATTTCACCGGCGATGTTGCCATCTCCCACTTATGCTACACCTCTCATGTCTCCTTACAGTGCCAGACTAGAGTCAAGCTCAACAGGGTCTTCTTTCCCCGCTAATTTTTCCAAGCCCGTTCCCTTGGCAGTGGTTTCGGTCGATAGTGGGTAGGGACATTTTTTTTTTTGTCATCTACTCTAATCTTAATAATCTGTTATCTTAATAATTTAAAAACAGATCCTATTTTCAACTTTCCTTTTTGGTTTTTCTCAATTCTTTTCATAATTTAATTTTTTGCCTCATAATTATTGTGTTAGTAAAAGCCCTAATCTACTAGGTGTTGGATTATTTATGTTACATGCTGTTTTTTGTCATTTTACAATCCCCAACACCTCGACTAAGCCTATGTTAGTATTTGTCTAACTACTACTACTACATCTATTACTGCATGCATTTCTGCATTGCGTCATGCAATTATTACAACTACTACTATCCTACTTTATCATGCATTACATGCTGCATGATACATGCATTTATTACAATCTACATGCACATAATACTATTCTACCTACTTGCCTGCTATCCTACTATTGCAGGTTGGCAGACATGTGCACCACTTTTTTGGGTGGCAGTTCGGCGAGCCTTTGGCCCTTGCTCCAGAACTTTTCCACCCAGTCCGTGGTCTCATTTCTTCCTTCTTCTTTTTTCGCAATCTTGTTTTCAGTCGTCAGTGTTGTCTTGATTTGGTCTTATTGTCTTGTAGCGTTGAAGATCTCCTGTTGGTGCTGGGAGACCTTCTGGGCTAGTTTATTCAACTTGTTGTATTTTTCTTCATCTTCTACTATCTGTTTGAGGTTCATCCCTTGTAGTCCTCTTCTCAGGTTGTCCTGGTCATTGTACATCAAACAATCCAGAATAACGTGCTCAGGCGTGCCTTCTTCGCCGCATTCACACAGACTATTTTCTTTCATGTTGAATCTATTAAGGTAGGTCGGGTATGGCCCATGTCCTGTTATTAGGTGTACCAATCCGGGAGTCGGATTGAAATACTCTGGTATTTCTTCTAGTATCGGAAGAATTTCGTGGACTCTTCTTGCTTTTTCTGATTGGTCCCACATTTCTTGCCACTCCCTCGCTATTTGCCTGTTTACTTGCTTTTTTGTTCTTGTTTGTGTACCCATCACAGTCTGTGCTTTTGCGTAGTCTGCACGCCTGATCCAGTACATGGCTGCTCTCTTCTTCAGTTCTAGTTGCATCGGCATGACCCTTACCAGTGTTGTCAGGGCCAGCGTTGCAGTTGTGCTGAAGGCTCCTGTCATTCTGACAAGGAACCCTCGTTGCGTTCTATCCACTTTCTCTTTGTTTTTGATGTTTTGCAGCCTATGTACCCACACGTTTGCACTGTATCCAGTTATCGATGCCAATACCACGCTTAAGTAGACTCTCACCTGTCTGAAAGGTATTCTTACTTCTTTCTGCACTAGGCTCGTTATTCTGTGCATTGCTGATGATGCTCTACTGCAGACGTCTGTGATGTGGTAAGCAAACATTCTAGATTCATCCATTATTATTCCTAGATATCGGACTCTTTGCTTTCTTCGGACTAACTGACCATCGATCCGAACCTGTGGATCTCTGTTCAGTTGTCCTTTCACTATATTATAGGTAGTTTTTTCGGTCGATACCTTTACGCAACCTCGCCTAGTGCATCTTCAGCTTCGAACAGACGGACAAGGAGTTCTTCGAGCATTATATCCCAGAAAACTGGGCCGCACACAGAACCTTGAGGACATCCCTTCGTAAGACGTTTCGTTTTCTTGCCTATTGGACAGCTCAGACTTGCATATCTGTCTTGACAGTAGCTTCTGAAACTTTTATACAATTTTTCCGGGCATCGCATTTCTCGAAGTCTTTCGAAGAATGCGGGCCACCAGAGATTATCAAAAGCCCCTGATAAATCTATGTAAATTGCAATCACGTATTTTTTGCCGCTACTGTCAATCGTTTCTATTGCCTTATTAATCGCGTCTTCCGTCGATTTTCCCGGTCTATAGCCATATTGGTCCGGGTGGACTCCAATTGTCTCTCTATGCTCACCTAGCCTATTGTATAGTAATTTCTCTCGTAGCTTACCCATAGAGTTTAATAAACATATCGGTCTCCATGATTTAGGTTTTATTGGATCTTTTTCCTCCCCCTTACTTAGAATTATTACATCTGCTTGTTTGAAAATGTTTGGTATTTTGCCCTGTCTCAAACATTCGTTATATAATTTCCTTAGAGCTGGGATTAGTTTTTGCCTTAGTGCCATTAGCACTTCCACTGGTATGCTATCTGGCCCTGGAGCCTTCTTCTTTTTCATTTTATTCAAGCATTCTGATATTTCTTCTTCAGTGAATGGATTCAAGATCGTCTCTGGTGGCTCATGGTATTGTTCTACCATTGCCCTTCTTGCTTCTATTTGTTCTGGTGTTTCTCCCTCGTGCTCATCTGAGGGTAGTAATGTTTTCATCAGGAGCTCGGCCGATTCCTCCCATGTCCTGGTCATAGACCCGTCTTCTCTCTCAAGAGAGGAGAGCATGGTAGGACATCTGACCTTTTTTGTTACGATCTTGTAAGGCATTTCTCATATGTCCATTTCTAGGTGGGTTTGTATAAACCTCTCACAGCCCTTTGCTTTTACTTCTTTTATTTGTGCGAGATAATTTGTTCTCAATTCTCTATATGTTCGTAGGAGTCTTTGGCGTTCTTGGTGTACTCCGCACCTCTGGTATCGTCTTCTCGCATTTCTGACTAGGGTTCTTTTCCTTGTTAGCTCTTCATTCCAAGCATCATTTCTTGGATATTTGGCAGAATAAGTTTGGGGGATGGCACGATCTATTACTCTCCTTATTTCATGGGTTATTCTCTTTGAATATTCATTCACATCTCCTTTCTCTCCCTCCAGTCTCGGCGGCTCGAACTCAGCCACTAGAGTTTCCCAATTTGCTCTGCTCATGTCATATCGTTTTATCAATGGTCCCATATTATTTGCCTCTCCCTTTTGGATTCCAAAGCTTATCAGATTGTGGTCACTCACTGTTACGTTATCTCCAACCCTCCATTCCACGATCCGGTTTGCTGCCTTAACATTTGATATCGTGATATCTATGTTGGTCGCAGCACCGGCTCTGTTCTGGAAGGTCGGCGGATTACCTGCTTTGTTATGGACTTCAAGTTGAAGTTCATTTATCAGGTTTTCTAATTCTTCGCCTTTGGCGTCTGTTGTTCCTGAGTGCCACAGTACCGATTTTGCATTGGCATCTGCTGTTATTATTACAGGGATGTTTCTATATGCTAGAAAGATATTACGCATTTTATTAATATATTAGTCTATGCCCTCATTGAATTGGCAATATATGTTCGCAATGATGAATTTGCCGATATTTGTTTGCAATTCCGTACAGATGCAGTGCTCATCACTGAACTGTTTCAGCAGAAACAGTCTATGGTTCTTGTTGAACAATACAGTTACCGCCATTGGATTTTGCCCTATACTTTGTATTTGTGCTGTTATCGGCATGTTGATCATTTTCCCTTTCTTTGTGTAGGGTTCTTGTATGCATAGCATGTCTAACCTCATTTCTTCCGCAACCTTCCTTATCTCATGACCAACTGCTGCACTGCGCATGCAGTTGATCTGTCCGATTCGGATCGTTACGGAGATCTTAGGTGTATGTGGCACTCTGGCCAGGGCTTTGTGTGGTCAAATGTTACTCTTCCATGGGTTTGTGCAAAGTCTCTGTATAGCTCTTCAAGGTCAAAGACCTCTTTTCTTCTGTCAAACACCTGCTTGAGGAGTTTTTCCAGTTCAGTGATATCTGTAGGAATGCTGTGACATTTTAGCTGAATTCGATCCACCGCTCCCGGAACCGGGAAGGTGATTTTGTTTCCTTTGATATGTTTATTTCTCACATAGTGCCTCAGGGCAGTTGTGAGCACTTTTGCCTCTTCCAGTCTGGAGAGTTGCATATTTACTTCTATGTTATCATATATGGTTTTCGTATTTGTTATTTGTTCCTATATCTTTCTGGGTTCGCTCTCTTTTTTCTTTCTTTTGAATGATAGCATTCTGAGTCTGTCCCTTAGGCTTTTGGAAGGCGTTTTCTTGGTTGTTCCCCACTCTTCTTCCTTTATGGCCATTATCTCCGAGGGGAGATTACTGGCCATAATCAGTCTTTCGTATCATCCTGTCCAGCAGCATTTTGTGCGTCTGGCAGTCTGACCCTTTTTTACAGGATTTTCCCCTCATCTTGCATGGTATGCAAGTGCTTGGTTTCTGCTTTTTAGGACAATCCTTCTTTTCATGCCCGCTCTCGCCACAGTGGCTACACACATTTTCTGTTTTTGCACAATATTTGTGACCGAGGTCTTGGCATTTCATGCATCTGGGAACTGCTAGGTAGTCCTTCGTATTCACACTGGTAAAACCAATGTAAATCTTTTCCCCATACATCCTTTTTCTGAGTTGTGGAGATACCTCCACAACTAAATTACATGTTGGTTTTCCTTTTGGTCCTGTTTTGAACCTGATTTTTAGCTCATTCAGAAAGTCTTCTTCTGAAATGTCCCCAAAATTTTGCGTCCTTATATCCTCCAAGATCTCATTGTCTTGCTTACTTGTCGTTACATCATATATGATCATTAGTGGTCTTTTCTTTTTGGGTAACTCACACTTAAAGTTCTTTTTTATGTTTGGGTTGTTCATAATTTTCTCGAGATCCTCTTTCGAGGAAGCTTCGATGATTAGTGCTTTTGCTGTGGTCTTCATTCTATTGATCTTTAAGATTTGGGTCCTTGGATCCAAAATCTTGGTCACCTCATCTTGCACTTTTTTCCCATTTTCATTTTTGTTCGATGTAACGAACAAGGTATGTTCTTGTTGCCTTTTAGATCTTTCGATTATCTTTTCCTTTTCTGACATTTTATTCATGGGTTAGTGGGTAGGGACAGGAAAAGGGTTTACCAACTTCCGTTGGATGGTCTGCCACCATTTGGTATGAGACCTGAGTTCTGGGTATCCTCTATCTAGCGCAACCACTGTCATGGAAACTCCATCCCAACACCGCACTCCAAAAATCAGCAGGGAAAGCATAGAGCCCTTGTATTTATTTATGATCTCCCGTATTATTCTATGTACAGTGTTATTTTGCTATCATTTATCTCAAGTTATTATTCTACATTATTGTTATCTTATTTCTATGTTAATTTTTTTTTTTTATCTTAACTTATGCTTATTCCTAGCCTATTCATGTATAACATGTTATTTGTATGTGTTAATCCTATCTTAGAATTATCACTATAATTAACTCTAAACTATTATGTAAATTGGTATAAATTGTTTTTGTTGCTGAGCCATCGTTCAAGTTATTTGCGTGTGATTGTGTTTCTTGTTGTTACTTATTTATCTTATTGTTGATCTATATGTACAGTCTTATTTATTGTCGTTAAACTTCTATATTTATGTTTCCTGTTGTGTTGTATGTTGTATCTTTGTATTTTCGTGTGATGGTGTTTATGTTTGTGTGTTTGTGTTTTTAGTGTTGTGTGGGTGTCTTATCAGGGTCTTCCGTTATCATTTTTCTTGCGAATTCGTTGATTATTCTAGGGTGTTCTTCGAAGTCTCTCAGGTTAGTGATATATTGTTTTTTCTTTTTGTTGTAACCATTGGATTAATGTGTTCCTTGCTGTTTGTCTGTCCGTGTCTGTGCATCTGTGTAGTATATGGTCTGTGTCTTCTCGTTCGTGTGTTGTGCAATGGTCGCATGTTCCGTCAGTCGTTCTCAGTCTGAATCGTTCGTAGTAACTGTTCATGTGTCCGTGTCCTGTGAAGAGTTGTACTGCTGTGTGGTCTAGTTCTATTCTCGTGGGTTGTACCGTTTGGATATGTCTGTAAAGTGTTCTACCTGATGTTGCGGTCTCCCATTCTCGTTGCCATCTTTCCTGCTTTTCTGTGCGTTTACGTCTGTTTATCTGTGTTTTTGTTGTGATAGATATTTTTATGTTTGTTTGTCTTGTGGCTGTCTTCGCGGCTTCTTCCGCTATCCTGTTTCCTATATGGGTGTGTCTTTCTGCCCAGGTTATTTCGCAGTTAGTTCGGCGTCGTGTATCGTCATGTTGTCGTTTGTCCTGTATCCTAGTTTTTTCCATGTGCCGTCTTGTGTTTCGTATGCTATCCCTATTCCTGTTTTTAGTTCGTTTTTTGTTGCGTCTGTGTATATGTTTATCATTTCAGTGAGGTTTGTGATTGCTAATGTGTACTTTATTCCCCTGTCGGCTGGGTGCGGTCTGTCTTTTGTTCGTATTTGTCTGTCTTGTCTCGTGTTGTAGTTGTCTTCGTAGAATATAAAATTATTTATGTTTGCCTCTATCTCTAGTGGTATTGAACCAGCTAAGACGTGTAATGCTGTAGTGGGCGTTGTCTTGTAGGCTCTTGATATTGCTAGGAGATATGGTCTTTCTGATGCCCGTAGGTTTCTCTGGATGTGCGTATTCATGGCCTTATTCCCCCATATCTCCGACCCATATAATATGAGGGGTTTCACTGCTCTTTCATATATTATTTTCCTAATTTCGGGGTGGGTTCCTCATGTCTTACCCGCAATGATGAAAAATTTTTGTGCAATTTCTGTAGATTTTTTCCTAATTGCTTTTACGTGTTCTTGCCATGTCCTGTTTCTGTCTATTGTCAGTCCTAGGTATTTTATGCTATCTTGCGGCGTGATTTGTTGTCCTTCTATTCTGAGTCTAGGTGGTCTTTGTCGTCTGTTGTGTCCTGGTATAAACATTACTTCCGTCTTGTCTGCATTGTATGTTAGTTTATTTTCGTGCTCCCATACTTTGCAGCGCTGCCATACGGATTCCCACCTGCTCTCGATCTCAGCAAGTGAACTTCCCGAGATCAGGAGCACCTGGTCATCCGCGAAGGCTTGGTAGAACACCCCTTCTCCGGGGACTAGTTCGAACCATCCTTCCATAAGGACCAGCCAGAGTATAGGCCCCAGGCTGGATCCTTGTGGGCAGCCCCGCTCAGTGTCCATTGTTATGTTGTTGGAGTTGACTGTCCTGTCTGTCAAGAAGTCGTTTGCTATGTGGATTATGTCTGTTGTAATTCCTAATTCTACTAGTTGTTTTCTTTGATGTAAAGCCTCATTAAGTCCATTGTGATTACCTCTGTTCTAATTAGTAGTTTGAATAGCGAAGGGTTCATTTCTAGGACCCAATTTTCTTTTCTATTGTCCCTACATGTCCGTTTGGTCAGTACTTTGATTGATTCGATATCTTCTTCTGATTGATTACTTAAAAGTTGTCCATTCTGGGTGATGAATTCCCTTTCGAATTCCTCGTTGGTGTAGCCTCCTAACACTCCCGTTATGGTGACTTTCGGTAGTTTTCCTCGTGTCGTCTTGATTTCGATGTCTTCTTTGTTGCTGAGTGCTTTCATTATTTTTTCCTGTTGCTCTTTATCTCTACTCGTAAGTATTACTGTCCCTTTATCTGTAGTTTTGATGTTTTGTAGTCCTTCGTATGATGTTTCTTGATCGATGTTCTTTCTTATCTCTGCTGGGTAGGGACAAAAAAAAAAAAAAAAAAAAAAGGAAGAGGTATGTTCCCTCCAACCACCCCTGCATTATGATTTATGCAGGCTACTGAATAGGACTGAAGATAGGTTTGGACTAAAGACTGTTAGGTTGGAAAGATGTTCAAATACCATCTTTCTGAGTGCCTGCCTTTCGGCTTAACTCAGGAATATATATTTAAAGGGATAGGGTCACAGGTAGGTTTGCTCTTCCTTTTGCTTTAGCCAATTTTCTTTATTGATCTATCAATCACAGAATTGTTTACATTTCAAGGTACTAACATTTATCAAATAATATAATACTGCTACTATTTATATTATTAATTTTATTGCAGTCTTTGGTTATCGTTTATTGCAACTTAGTCTTCTTAGTTTCTTTCTTCCTGTTGTTATTCTCTACTTCATCTTCTCCTTTTCTTCTTTCCTTCTTTTCTTCTTCCTTCCTTCTTTCTTCTTTCCTTCTTCGTTCTTCTTCTTCCCCCCCTGTCTTTCTTCTTTTCTTTCTTTCTTCGTACATCGTGCTTTCTTTTCTTTTATATATTCTTGATGAGTATCATCTATTACTCATAAAATTTTCTAATATCGTCAAATCCGGTTGTAGATTATAGATAATGTCGCTAGCTTCTCTATATTCTTGGCCTATAGCTTCATGAAGAAGTTCTCTTTGCCTGTTGAATTGCTCACAATTTAGCAACCTATGTTCCGGCGTGTCTGGCTGGTTATTTCCACAATACAAACATTCGTCAATTTGAATTTTTCCTATCCTTTTTAGGTGTACCCTGAATTCTCCATGTGAAGACAGGAAAGAAATCAATTTTCTACTAAATCTTTCATGTAGGCTAGAAATCCAAGTTCTCAAATCCCTTATTAGGGTATAAGTATTCCTTCCTTTTGTGGAGTTATCCCAGAGTTCTTGCCACTTGGAGATTTCTTGACTCTCCATGTGTAGTCTCAATGCTGTCCAGTAGCGGTATTCGTTGGATACTATGTCGTTCCCCATAAAATTGGTTCTGCCTTGGGATTTCAACTCTTTCAAGGCTAGAATCTTCTGAGCCTGAATATGTATTGGCGGAATTTTGGTTAAAACACATAAAGTGTCTATTGGCACTGTTTTGTATGCTCCTGAAATACACTTTAAACAGGTTGCTTGGAGAGTACTCAGCTTTTTTATAGTATTATTAAATCTCAGTTTGTCCTTCCAAAACTCCATGCCATACATAAGAATTGGCAATATTGCACCATTATATATAGTGGTCATGGCTTGGCTGTATCTTCCCCAGCCTCTTATTGTATATCTTTTTAAAGAGTAGAAAATTTTCTTGCATCTGTCAACAATGTATTCAATATGTTTGTTGTAGTTGAGTCTGTCATCTAATATAACGCCTAGGTACTTAATAGAGTCTACTCTCTTTACTACCACTCCATCTAATCTAACTTTTGGATTTCTATTTATAGTAAGGGTATTAAAACTTATAATATATTTCGTTTTAGGCTTTGATATCTCCAATTTATGACTTGAAGCCCATTTGCTCAAAATTCTTAAGCAACTGTTTGCTTTAACTTCTAGCTGATTCCTATTTTCGGCTGAAATTACTATACAGATGTCATCTGCGTATGCCGTTACTTCAACTTGTTCAGGCCATTCATCTCTAAGCAGTGGCTCAACAGTAATATTCCACAATATAGGGCCTAGGGCAGAACCTTGCGGACATCCTTTATTAAGCTCTTTCCTTATTGTATGATATTTTGTGGTGTATTCCACACTTCTTTTGTCCAAGTATGACTTAATAACTCCCATGATGTCCGCAGGAATTCCAAGCTCGTGCAAATATCTAAGTAGGCCTGGCCACCACATATTGTCAAAGGCTCCAGCCACGTCGATGAAGATAGCCATATTGTGTTTAGCAGGGGATTTAAGGGCATTTATTACTCTACCTAATGCCATGCTGGTATTCCTTCCAGGTATGAACCCAAACTGATTGGTGCTAAACAAGTTTCCGTTTTGTGTATACTTCAACAGGAGTTTTATCAGAACTCTTTCGAAAAGTTTTCCTAACTCCGATAACAGAGTTATTGGCCTTAAAGCTTCAGGGTCCGTTAAGTCTTTATCGGGAGATTTGATGATTGTTATTAACCTCCCATGCTTCCAAGACTCAGGAAAGTAATGCATTCTCAAGCATGATTTTATTAGTCTTATAAAATTCTCCCGAAGTATTGGATAGGACATTACCAAAATCCTTCCATGAATAATATTATCTGGCCCAGGGGCCTTGTTTTTCTTGACAGAGTGTATGGCATAATCTATCATGTCCTCGTCCAGTTCTATCTCAACTGGGGAGCCCACATACCTGTCAGACTTATTTCGCCATATAGTATTCATCTCATTGTCGGTTCCAATATCGTCGTTAGGCATTAACTTATTTATTATTGCCGAAAGAGTTTCGTCAAAATCCTTTGTTAGTTCTCCATCTGGGGTTTTCACTGTATTATGTATGTTACTCATTTTAATTTTTTCGGCTGCTAACTTGTATGTGGTTCCCCAAGGATTCCTTGTTAAGTCATCTTCTACAAACTCTAGCCAAGTTTGTTTCTTAGCATTCTTTATTAAATTTTTGTAGGTCCTTAATTGGTCGTGGTAGTCTGTTCTTCTTGCCTCTAATTCTACTTCTGGCAGTCTTCGTCTACCAGCATTCTGGTAAAACCTTCTGGTTCGACTTACTATTATTTTTTGGTTTGCTATATCTTCATTCCACCACGGAGTATATCTTAGTGGCCTGCGGATCTTCTTGCCATGTATTTCTATGATATGTACTAGTCCTTGGGTTATTTCATTGATCATCTGATCAATTTCCTGTATAGTATCAAGCTGTAGTTGGTTTATATTTTGGCATAAATCTATTAGTGCTGGTTCTATAGTCTCAAACCTTAATTTTTTGACACTATATTTGTGATTTTGTGTCTCAGGGTATTCCATTTGCCTGTTTTCATGTATATTTAGTGTAATTAGTCTATGGTCGCTGTGTACGGCATCGCAATTACCTCCCAGTTTCCTATGAAAGGGAGGAGGCCGTCATTCGAAAACATCAGATCTATGTTGCTCTCGCCATTTATTGTTTTAAAGGTTGTTGGGTTGTCTGATTTGTTTATCATATTCAAGTTGTGTCTTTCAATGAAGCGTTCCAAGTTTCTGCCTCTAGTATCCTTGATTCTGTCGAACCATAGGTTTGATCTTGCATTAAAGTCTCCGCATATTAGCATATTTGATGCTCTATTTTCTTGGAACACTTCATCCAGAGTGTCTAGACTTACTTGAAAGTTATCATTTGGTGGACAATATATATTGGCAATTACGGCTTCTTGTCTATTTGACCTTAGACGAATCACGTTCAGATTTATTTGTTCATACTGTTTGAGGTTTAGTGCGTCTATTCCTTTATTGATTATAATAATTGCTGTATTGGGTTTTTCCGTTGCTGTGTGGGCCACTCGGTATTGTGAGAACCCCGGAATAAAGTATATTCCTTTATTGTTCTGTCTTGAGTATGGTTCTTGCATAATTATTGCGTCAAATCGCTTTTCCTCTGCGTATTGTCTAATCTCTGCTGTGGCAGTTATTGAGTTTTGCAAGTTAATTTGTCCGAGTATGAGTTTTACGTTACTGTCCATAGTCAGTATTATTTATGTACGTTTGAATTCTCTTGCTATACGTTGGGCAGCTATTGTCTCCTGCTTCGTGTTCGCACTCGTTTCTGCCTAGTTTTGCTCGTAAGCAATTTATGCATTGAGGTTTGCCACGACGGTCACAGTTTTTTGTGTTATGTTCTTCTGTGCACTTACCGCAAACCTCTTTGTTTTCGCAAACTGTGGCCATATGTCCATACCCTTGGCACTTATAACATCTGACCACCCTAATGTGATCTTTTACTGGACATGAAGACCAATCTAGATACAGTTTCTTTCTTGTCAGTATTTCTTTTCTAATCACTGGGTTACATTCTATTACCCATGTGCATGTCTCTTTATTTCTGTCTCCGAATTTAAATTTCGCTGTAACTTCATCCTTATGATTTATTGGAATTCCCAAGTCGTCATTTATTCTACAAGCTACTCTGTTTGGACCCCAATCACTTGGGACTCCCAATACAGCTATTCTTGGCATCATTTTTGACTGAACTTTGGTGGGTAGGGACATTTTTTTTTTTTTTTCATTCACTCTAAATCTTTATTAATCTGTTAACTAATGAATTTAAAACAGATCATATTTTGATAACTTTTTCTATTTTATTCCCAATTCTTTTTATTGTATTTTTCTCTTTTTTCCTTATAATTATGTTAGTAAAAAGGTCCTAATCTACTAGGTGTTGGAATGTTTTTGTTACATATTGTTATACATAGTCGACAATTCTCCAACACCTCTACTAAACCTATGTTAGTATTTTACTATTCTACTGCTACATGCAATTTATGCACTAGTCATGCACTAATACTACTTCTACTTTACTACTTAACTATTCTACTGTACCATGCGACATGCTGCATGGTACTTTCTCTAATTACTACTACATGCTACATGCAATTATTTACCTGTCTGCTACCCTGCAGGTTGGCAGACATGTGCACCCCCTTTTCGGGTGGTAGTTCGGCGAGCCTCTGGCCCTTGCTCCGGAACTTTTCCACCCGATTCGTGGTGTTTTATTTGTCGCGTCCTTATTCTTCTTCATTTTGGTCAGTTTAGTTTAGTTTCGGTGTTTGTGTTTGTTTGTTTGTTTGTGTAGTTTGTTGTTGTTTGTTTCTCTTCTATTATCTTCTGGCATTGTTGAAGGTCTCCTGTTGTTTTTGGGAGACCTTCTGTGCTAGTTTATTTAGTTTTTCGTATTTCTCTTCTTCTTCTAAGATTTCTCTGAGGTTTAACCCGCGTAGGTCTCTTCTCAGGTTTTCCTGGTCATTGTACAATAAGCAGTCCAGAACTACGTGCTCAGGCGTGCCTTCTTCACCGCATTCGCACAGACTATCATCTCTCAAATTAAACCGATTTAGGTAGCTCGGGTAGGGCCCATGCCCCGTGATCAAATGTACTAACCCGGGGGTCGGGTTGAAGTACTGTGGTATTTCTTCTATTGTTGGTAAAATTTCATGGACTCTTCTGGCCTTATATGACTGATCCCACATCTCTTGCCATTGCCTTGCTATTTCACGATTAACTTGTTTCTTTGTTCGTATGTCTGGTCCTAATATAGCCTGTACTTTTGCGTAGTCTGCACGCCTGATCCAGTACATGGCTGCTCTCTTTTTCACCTCAAGTTGCATCGGCATGACCCTAACGAGTGTTGTCAGGGCCAGCGTAGCAGTTGTACTGAAGGCTCCTGTCATTCTGACGAGGAACCCCCGCTGTGTTCTGTCAACCTTCTCTTTGTTCTTAATGTTTTGCAGCCTATGTACCCACACGCTTGCACTGTAACCAGTTATCGATGCCAATACCACGCTCAAGTAGGCTCTCACCTGTCTGAAGGGTATCCTGACTTCCCTTTGCACTAGGCTCGTTATCCTGTGCATTGCCGATGTTGCTCTGTTGCAGACGTCGGTGATGTGATAAGCAAACATTCTGGATTCATCCATTGTGATTCCCAGATATCTGACTCTTTGCTTTCTTCGGACCAGCTGACCATTGATCCGAACTTGCGGGTCTCTGTTCAGCTGTCCTTTTACAATGTTATATGTAGTCTTTTCTGTCGATATCCGTAGTTTGACTTTATCACACCACCTGTTCACTATCTCAAGAACATTGTTACATTTCGTTTCGATTTCTCTTCTACTGTTCCCGTCCACGATTATTAACAGATCATCAGCATATGCAACAGTGCCTAGTGCATCTTCCGCTTCGAACAACCGGACAAGAAGCTCTTCGAGCATGATATCCCAGAAAACTGGGCCGCACACAGAACCCTGAGGACAACCTTTGGTTAGACATTTTGTCTTTTTGCCTATTGGACAGCTCAGACTTGCATATCTATCTTGACAGTAGCTTCTAAAACTTTTATAAAGTTTTTCCGGGCATCGCATTTCTCGAAGTCTTCCGAAAAATGCGGGCCACCAGAGATTATCAAAAGCTCCTGGTATGTCTATATATATTGCAATCACATATTTTTTGTCGCTACTGTCAATCATTGTTATGGCTTTGTTAATCGCATCTTCAGTCGATTTTCCAGGTCTATAACCGTATTGGTCTGGATGGATTCCTACTGTCTCTCTATGCTCACCAAGTTTTTTACATAACAATTTCTCTTGAAGCTTACCCATCGAGTTTAATAAGCATATCGGTCTCCATGATTTTGGTTTTGTCGGATCTTTGTCCTTCCCTTTACTTATTATTATTACATCTGCTTGTTTGAAGATTTTTGGTATTTTGCCCTGTCTCAAACATTCGTTATATAGTGTACACAGAGCTGGGATCAGTTTTTGCCTTAGTGCCATTAGCACTTCCACTGGTATGCTGTCAGGCCCTGGAGCCTTTTTCTTTTTCATTTTGTTTAAGCAATCTGTTATTTCATCTTCAGTGAATGGATTCAAGATCGTCTCTGGTGGCTCATGGTATGGTTGTACCATTGCCCTTCTTGTGTTTTGTTGTTCCACAGTTTCACCCTCGTGCTCATCTGAGGGTAATAAAGTTTGCATCAGGAGCTCGGCCGATTCCTCCCATGTCCTGGTCAAGGACCCGTCTTCTCTTTCAAGAGAGGAGAGCATGGTAGGACATCTGACCTTTTTCGTTACGATCTTGTAAGGCATTCCCCATATGTCCGTTTCCAGATGGGTTTGTATAAACTTTTCCCAGCTCTTTGCTTTTGTCTCTTTTATTTGTGCGAGGTAACTTGTTCTCAAATCTCTGTATCTTTGCAGGAGTCTTTGGCGTTCTTCATGTACTCCGCATCTCTGATATCTTCTTCTCGCATTTCTGACTAGGGTTCTTTGTCTGGTGAGCATTTCACTCCAAGCATCGTTTCTTGGGTACTTTGCAGAGTACGTTTGGGGGATGGCAAGATTCATTACTCTCTTAATTTCATGGGTTATGCTCCTTGCATATTCATGTACATCTCATTCCTCTCCTTCCAGTCTCGGCGGCTCGAACTCAGCTGCCAGAGTCTCCCAATTTGCTCTACTCATGTCATATCGTTTCACCATTGGTCCTATATCTACCGCTCCCTTTCTGATGCCAAAACTTATCAGATTGTGGTCACTCACTGTTAGGTTATCCCCAACCCTCCATTCCACGATCTGGTTTGCCGCCTTAACATTCGATATCGTGATATCTATGTTGGTCGCGGCACCAGCCCTGTTCTGAAAGGTCGGTGGGTTACCTGCCTTGTTGTGTACTTCAAGCTGAAGTTCATTTATGAGATTTTCTAGTTCTTCGCCTTTGGCGTCTGTTGATCCAGAGTGCCACAACACTGATTTTGCATTGGCATCTGCTGTTATTATGACAGGGATATTCCTGTATGTTTGGAAGATTGTTCGCATCTTGACAATGTATTCTTCTTTGCCCTCATTGAATTGGCAGTATATATTCGCAATGATGAATTTGCCGATATTTGTTTGTAATTCCGTACAGACGCAGTGCTCGTCACTGAACTGTTTCAGCAGAAACAGTCTATAGTTCTTGTTGAACAGTACAGTTGCTGCCATTGGATTCTGCCCTATGCTTTGTATTTGTGCCGTTATTGGCATGTTGATCATTTTCCCTCGTTTAGTATAAGGTTCTTGTATGCATATCATATCCACCTTCATTTCCTCCGCAACCTTCCTTATCTCGTGACCAACTGCTGCACTGCGCATGCAGTTGATCTGTCCGATTCGGATCGCTACGGTGATCTTAGGTGTATGTGGCACTCCGGCCAGGGCTTTGTATGATCAAAAGCTACTCTCCCATGGGTTTGTGCAAAGTCACTGTACAGTTCCTCAAGGTCCAAGACCTCGTTTCTTCTGTCGAAGACTTGCTTTAGGAGTCTTTCCAGTTCGGTGACGTCTGTAGGAATATTATGACATTTCAGCTGAATTCGATCCACCGCTCCCGGAACCAGGAAGGTGATTTTGTTTCCTTTGATATGCTTATTCCTCACATAGTGCCTTAGGGCAGTTGTGAGGATCTTTGCTTCTTCCAGTCTTGAAAGTTGCATATTTACTTCCATATTGTCGTATATGGTTTTCGTGACTAGTTTTGTTTCCTCGTTTGTTATGGGTTCGCTTTCTTTATCTTTTTCTTTTTTCTTTCTTTTGAAAGATAGCATTCTGAGCTTGTCCCTTAGGCTTTTAGAAGGGGTTTTCTCAGTTGTTAATCCTCTTTCTTCTACCTTTATGGCCATTATCTCCGAGGGGAGATTACTGGCCATAGTCGGTTTTCTGGATCATCCTGTCCAGCAGCATCCTGTGCGTCTGGCAGTCCGACCCATTCTTACAAGTTTTCCCCCTGTTTTTGCACGGAATGCAAACACTCGGGTCTTGTTTCTTTTGACAGTCCTTCTTTATGTGCCCACTCTCTCCACAGTGGCTGCATATGTTCTCAGTTTTTGCACAATACTTGCCAATGTGACCTAAGTCTTGGCACTTTAAACATTTCGGGACTACAATGTAATCTTTTGTATTTACACTGGTGAAACCAATGTATAATTTCTTGCCACTCATCTTTTTCCTTAGCTGTGGAGATACCTCTACAACTAAGTTGCATGTTGATTTGCCTTTCGGCCCGGTCTTGAATCTTACTTTGAATTCGTTTTTGAATTCTTCCTCTGAGATGTCCTCAAAGTTCTGTGTCCTTATGTCCTCGACGATCTCGTCGTCCGGTTTATTCGTGGTTACGTCGTAAATTATCATTAAGGGTCTCTTCTTTTTAGGCAATTCACATTTAAAGTCTTTCATTTTTGGATTGCTCATGATCTTTTCAAGGTCCTCTTTCGAGGACGCTTCAATTATCAGAGCTTTAGCTGTTGTCCTCATCTTGTTAATTTTCAAGATTTGGGTTCTTGGATCTAGGATCTTCGTAACCTCATCTTGTACCTTTTTACCGTTTGTGAATTTTTCTGATGTAATGAACAAAGTATGTTCTGGTTGCCTTCTTGATTTCTCTATAATCTTTTCTTTTTCAGATAATTTGTTTATGGGTTTTGAGGCCACTGTCGCATAAGACATTGGCATCGATACCTGTTTTTGTTCCGCCTGCTTAAGCTCATGTCTCAGTCTTTCATTTTCTTCTTTTAGTGCTTGTATGCGCCCTTCCAAGTTTGCTTGTTCTAGTCCCCATTCTTGGACTCTTTCAATCAGTCCTTCACGTCCTGCTTTCGCAAGTCGCTTGCTGCTGGTCATTTCATTATTAATGAAATTCATCATTTCGACGAATCTCGACATTGTTTTGTCTCTCTTAGAGGTGCACATGTCTACCTCACTGGCTACACTACCTCTTCTAACTAAACTACGACTATCTATGTTACTACTGTTACTTCTCTGACTCTGACTCATTTCATCAGGCATAGTGCCCCTTAAGGGGTCTCCCTCCCGGGAGGCCCTCTCTCGAGATTCCCACTATACCCTACCCACAGGAGATCAGAAATATCAGTCTTCGTGCGCTTTGCCCTACTGTGGATCTTATTGCGGGAGGACCCCGGCTTATAGCCACGGAGTGGTTTCCGCCCCCGACCAAAGAGGAGGTGGCACGTTTTTTCCACTATCTAGCCTTGTTTTGTTTTTTACCGTCTTGCCCAGTACACACTGAAGACAATCGGTGTTTTTAGAAAGCTATTAATTGCCTTTTTACACTTAATCTCTTAATCGCTTTCTACAGTGATACTCCAACAAGTAATCACTGGCCCGAGGGCGGTGGGTAGGGACAGTGGGAATCTCGTTAATCCATTCATGCGCGTCACTAATTAGATGACGAGGCATACATGTACCCTCTGTTGTGGGTTAATATCTGCGCCGCGCAGGGCGGAATATGATACAGAGTTATGACCCCAATCGGGGGTAAGTCGAAGCACATTCACTATAGTTCCTGGTGGGGAAAATTAAAAGTCCTTATATCTCTAAATAGAATTGAAATTTCAAAGGAAAATTGGTGCTGGCACTGTGAGAGTATGCGTGGTCAGTCACCACTGTCAAGATAGTGACATTTATAAATAAATAAGTTAGATACAATTAAAAATGCCACAAGCATAAACAGGTTGAAAGTAAAATAAAGCATGATAGTGAAAAGGGACGAAACAACACTCTGAAACCGTTCTTATTCTAGGGACGCCCACAACACTTTGAAATAGTCATCCGTTGCTCGACAATTATTTGCGGGAGAAAACCGCGAAAACTATGACACCCGCGACGTCGCACCTTAATCACACGCTAATGTCAGGAGGGCCCTCAACGCCGTCTCCAGACTCTTCGACCAAACGATTGGTGGATCGAAGAGCTCCATTTGAGCGCGCTGTGTACACAGCTCGCCCTCAACGCCCGTGTCAGTTTGAGCGCTTCATCGGTGGGCCCGTTGCACCTTGGCCAGATTCCTCTAGCACCAACAATCAACGGCAAGACTTGTAGAGACTTGCCAGGCCAGCGTTGTCGTGCGGCCTCCAAGAATTTATTGTTGTCATAGACTGCCTTCTTGGCAGCATACGTCACCCCCAAGGGTTGATTTCCCTCCCAATTCACCCCCACGTCCACGATAAGCGTACAAGTGTTTTGGTGGACAACCGGGTCTGGCTTGAACAGTGTGCCATCCTGGTGCCGGACGTGGGGTTCTTCCTAGGTCGTCCATTGCTTCTTCCTGCAATGCCCGGCGACCTTCTTGACTACCTCGTTATGACGCCTGATCCTCTCCCAGTGTGTGGCGGGACACTGTTGTAGGACGTGGGACAGGCTTTCAACTTTGTCACAACCGGCCCTGCATTTCCGCATTTCCGGCGGGTTGGACATGATGCCCGCTACGGGCAGGTTGTTAGATCTCAGTTGCACGGCTCTGACAAAGTCTCGGCCTGTCCATCCTTGTGACTTCTGGTCTATCCAGCTCCTACTGGCGGGATCATCTGTGGAATTTTCGAGACCTTTCAATGTGGGCGCCTGCATTAGACGGTCTCGCCACAGATGATCATTTGGAACGTCGCCTTTCAATGTATTCAGTCGTTCCATCAGTCCTCGCGTTTCGACACACTGTAGGACGGCGCTCAAGCATCGGTCGTCGACGTGGTCAAGAAGCCCGGTCAGGCGTTTCAGGAAGACGCCCGGAATAAAATGTCGAAGCTCCGAAATACCAAGGCCACCGTCCCTGATTTTGGCATGAAGTGCCGCGTCAGGGGTGTGCTCATTTAAGTGGAGAATATGTTTAGCGAATTGCTTTATGAGGCGGTCTGCTGATCGTAATATCTGGCCTGTGACCCTGGGATTTTGAAGCCCAAACATTTATTTCGGTATGATGTGCTCCTTCAAGACCTTTAGTTTTCGATCCGGTTTCAAAGGAGCTCGCTCGATATTAGTGAGCCACCGAGGAAGATTACTCAGACTTGGCTTCAGCAAGCCGGTCATTTCATCTTCAAGGACAACTATGTCATCGGCGAAGGCCATGGCAGATACCCTAACCTGAGGGGCAAGGGTTCCGCCAGTGGATCCACTGTTTAGATGGCAGATCAACTTGTCGATGACATGGGTGAACAATAGAGGGCTCAGAGGTTCCCTTTGTTCATCCCCCCTACTCACCCTGAAGTGACGCGTGCTGCCAGAGCCAGTCTTGATGGTGGTAGAGGAACTGGTTAAGGTGCCCCTAATATAGGTTTGGGTCCCCGAATCAACTCCCATCCTGGCAAGGGCCCTGAGGACGGACTGGTGAGAGACCGTGTCGAAGGCCTTCCTGACATCAAGTGCCAACACGTTGAAGCAGGCTCCTCTGCTTCTCCTGGAGCGGATGTAGTGGTCCAGGATGATCGTGTTGGCCATAGTTCCATCCACTTCTGTGAAGCCTCTCTGGTCCATGTTCAGAGAGGTCGCGATTTTGAGCCGATGGGCCAGGACTCGGTGAAATAGACGCTGGATGAAGGAGCCGATGGTGATAGGTCTCCAGTTCCCTGGATCCCTAGGGTCGCCTTCTTTGTGAATGAGGGTGGTCCTCATTTTATTGAACGACTGCAAGTGAATGTTCCACATCAAAAGTATGGAAAACAAAATCGCCAGATCCCGATCAGCTGTTTTCTTTACCGTCATCACCTGCACCTCGTCGGTCCCTGGTGCTGATATGGACCAGCTAAGTTTTGCCCGGGCGACTTCTTCGGGCAATATCGGCTTGAAGGTGCAGGTGGATGTTTTCGGGTCGATGATGACCTCGTCATCGGGGGGGAGAAGCGCTCTCCAATATCCCCCCGAAGAGTTCCTCGACTGCCTGGACAGAGGGGAAGACGTCAGCGTCATCCAGGTACTTCCCTGCGAGCAGGCGGTCCACCAGTCTACTTTTGTTCTCATTGAACAGATCCTGAGTTCTTTTGTACTGGGCTGCTCTAGGATTGTTCCCTGTGGACTGCTGGCCGTAATGCCTTGCTTTCCGTGTACCTTTCCCTCTGCCCTTTGTCTGACAACCTGCGGCCGAGGAGCGCGCCCCGGGGTTGCTCCCGGGACGCACCTCCACCGCTTGTGTGTCAGGCGGCACAGCGGCCCTCCTCCCAGGTCGAGTGGTCTTCCTCTTCTCGAAGTTCAGATGGATCCAGGTTTAGATGAAAGAGGGCAGTTCTTGATCGCTGGCCTCCATGCCAGCATCGATCAGACCTATGAGATTGTCAGTTGAGCTCAGAGTCCCCTTATATAGTTGATCCTCGACCTCATCCTTTGACGAAAGGAGATATCTGTAGAGGTCGGGATCGATGGTGGGTTCCCCTGGCTGCTCATCCATCGCCACCGCGTGGGGGCTGGTAGTGATCTCAATCACTTCTGGAGCAGCCAGTGGGGACTCACTCAACTGACGAACTTCTGGTGGAAGTGGGGAGGGATCTTGACTCGCTGTTGTCGAGTACTCGACTCGCGGTCTTCTTGGGGGCGCTTGTGCCCCCGGTGACGGGGTATCCGCTTGCCGCAAACGCTTCTTAGATGTTAGCGCTATTTGGGGAGGATCATTCCACGAGTCTTCGCTGTCGCTGGTAGTGACTGGTGCTGCCCATGGTATCCTCCCAGTGGAGGGTCCTGGGATTCGAGAAGAGTGTATTCCGGGGCTACTGGCTATAGGCAGCACTGCTGGGACCTCTATGGGGCCAGGGAGCTCCTAGGTGTTCCGTATACGGATCATCAAGTTCGTCGCACCCCGTTCCAGGGGTAGTAGTGGCTGCTCTCGGTGCCATGGGGACAAGTTTTGTCTACCCCTTGGCTGAGGCAGTCGTGGCAACTTGGGGCGGCAACTGGACAGAGGGAGAAAACACAGTGTTCCTCTTGGATGCCATGTTCGCAGTTGCCGCCCGTATGGAAGCCCGTCGCGCACGTGCGAGATATTCTTTGTAAATTGTTTTATCCCGCTTGTGGCGGATCTGATGGCTAGGGAGGCCGGTGGCTTTTTCTATTTCTTTTACGAACGGTTTACCCTTCAAGGTGGAGACCTCTATGGCCGCAAGGATCTCGTAAAACTCGTGTTCCGGACTCGGCAGGCTATCTTCCATTTCCTTCGCATATAGGTCTGGATGCGCTTTCTTTTCGTGCTGCCTTACCCCCTGGAACGTGGGGAAGGTTCTCTCGCTGAATTGACACTTTGACGTGTCACGTGTTATGCATAGCTTCATATGCTTCTGCAGCCCCCCATTGGTCTCGCAACCGTGTCCGCACTTTGGACACTAGTGCGGATGCGGGTTTGCTTGGAGAGAGGGTGGAGTGGCAGAAAAACTTACCCTCCTTGGGTTCACTTTTGTTCCCTCTCTCCTTAGCGGACCAGGGCCACTGGCGGTGTCAGTTGGACCCTGTGTGGGTGTCGTCAGGGATGGCTGGACTCCCTCCTTTTTGTTTCCTGACATTTCCCTTGGTCGTAGTGCCCCGTGGTTGCTAAGACGTGTGTCCGTTGGCGCGATAACACTCCGCACATTCTACTAAATGTTTACAGAAAATGGCAGAGTCGAAGAAACGATTCACTTTCCACAAGTGTTTTAAAGAAAAAAGGAGAGTTCTCGCAGCTACGAGAACTCTCCTTCATTCAAATAACCCGCGCGCACTGGTAGTGGTACTACTGCTATGGCCGATGCCAAGATGGCCGCTTCCGGAGATAAATAGGTAACACGAGACGATTATACAACGCGGGGACAGAATTGTAGGTTAACACCCACGTGGAGATTCCCGGAACCCGTATATCTCCGGCCGGGATGAAGATATTGTATTCCCGTTCGCACACACTGAAACCCACGGCGAACTAAAACACTCGGTATATTCAATGTTAAATTTGGATCAAATCTATGGATTTTAGAGATGATTGTTTCGCGAGCATCGCGGACACGTCCTCTCATCGCCACAATGCTTCAGAGAGTCATAGTTACTCCCGCCGTTTACCCGCGCTTGCTTGAATTTCTTCACGTTGACATTCAGAGCACTGGGCTAAAATCACATTGCGTCATCACCCCCTGGGGCCATCGCAATGCTTTGTTTCAATTAGACAGTCGAATTCCCGCGGTCCGTGCCAGTTCTGAGCTGACCGTTGAGTGGCGGCCGAAAAGGACACCCGGACGCCCTTGCGAGCGAACCGGGGCCTCGCAGCAAGACGGTTCCGCGGGAGGCCAAGGCACGGGACCGAACTCGTATCCACGCCGCCGCCGTGAAGCGACAGGGCTTCACCTCGCACAGGCCCGGCACGTTAGTCGCGACCCGCTTCCTCGCCAAGCCCGACACGCCCTGATCCTCAGCCAATCCTTATCCCGAAGTTACGGATCCAATTTGCCGACTGCCCTTACCTACATTATTCTATTGACTAGAGGCTCTTCACCTTGGAGACCTGCTGCGGATATGGGTACGAACTGGCGCGACGCCTCCACGTGGCCCTCTCCCAGATTTTCAAGGTCCGAGGGAAAGATTCGGACACCGCTGCAACTGCGGTGCTCTTCGCGTTCCAAACCATATCTCCTTGCTAGAGGATTCCATGGAACTCGAACGCTTATGCAGAAAAAAAACTCTTCTCGGATCTTCCGACGGCGTCTTCGGGTCCTTTTGGGTTGCCCCGACGAACTCTCTTGCGAGGGCTCGACATTTAGACGGTTCCGCTGCCGGGTTCCGGAATAGGAACTGGATCCCCATTCGCCCGACGGGTGTGTTAGGAGTTCAAACGTATATACAATATAACACATTCGTAAAACTACACCACATCAACATCGGCTTTCGCCTAGGGCTTAGGATCGACTGACTCGTGTGCAACGGCTGTCCGGGGACAGAATCGGCACCAGGTCCGATCACCGTCAAACGCCATCAGTTGGTTTTATAAAGCGTTCGACACTTGAATTTGGTTCTGTTCAATGTATAATATATCTTTACAACACTCTGGTTTGAAGCAAATTGGAATTTGGAAGTTTGATATGGAATAATTTTCTGAACAAAGGAAATGCTAATTTATTAGAGACCCTCTAAAATAAATTTCTGAAGTATCTCTTCTATAAAAAATAAAACACATCTCCAGGTTTCCCTGGACACTCAGGGGTATCAGGTTATGAAATGGCCGATGGTCTGGCGAGAAAGGGGGCGAAGGGTTCAGTGATTGGCCCAGAGCCAATCTTAGGGGTCACTTGATCCTGGAGCAACTTCAAGATGAAGGAAATCCTGACGGAAAGGTTTTAGGACAGCTGGATAAAGGCTCCTCGAATGAGGCAGTTCAAACTCCACATAGGAAACCCGTCACGAAGACAGACCAATGCCCTCTTGGCTTTGAACAGGAAGGAGCTGAAACTGGTGGTGGGCCTTCCGACAGGGCACTGCCACCTGAACAAACATCTCAGCATGATCGGGATTGTGGAGGATCCTGAATGCAAATGGTGCCTAGAGGATGAAGATACTTCTACTCACATCCTCACTGAATGCCCGGCAGTAGTGGTAGCAAGGGTAATCCGTTTTGGGAGCAGTATCCTGGACCCAGAGGATGTTGAAAAGATTTGGCCTAGAAAGTTGGCCTCTTTTGCTCGCAAGATTGGCCTTCTCCATGGCTGACTTGCGATCCCAGGAATGTGGGTGCCCAATGGGCCCGAAAAGGGAGGCCTAAATGCGTCAGGTCCCGGACGCGTATCGGCATTGTCTCCTATGGTACGACGCAACCTGAGAAAAGTGTATGCCGAATCGCGGAAGATAATGTCCCACGATTTCGCAATGATATGCGCGACATTCTCTCCTGCTTTAGGACGCTACGTGCTGAATATTGAAGCGTCTGGATACAGTAGATTTTGCCATTTTTCGCTTTATGAGTGGCAATATCTACTATGGAAATAAACTCCGTGTTCTGTTCCCTTAATGTATTATTTCATTGGTGTACATAAAGAACAGTTAGTGAGATTTTGCATTCGGTTTGTTTTTATTTACGTTGGCCGATAAGTGCCTCTTCTTTCTGATTACCTTTTCAGGTTCATTTTTCGAGGGTCTACCTGACTGAATCCTCTTCGCCCCAGATGTCAGTCCAGGTCGAATTTTACGTCTGGACTTTGATGTCGGCTGTACTCTAATTTACCGTCCACGGTTGTGAAAATCGTTTCTCCTGGATTGCATATGGCAAAGATATGACTGCACTTGTGTAGCAGTTGTTAATTGGCTGAGTGTGAGATTAATTTTATGCATTACTTTGGTCAAGTCACTATTTTGATTATTGAGTGCAATATACGTATGTGCAGGGGATCAGACGATCCTTAAGTGATTCCTATTCTTTGGGTTTCGACTGATTTTTCTTCTCCGATATTCATTGGCATATTCATACTTTATTCGATATTTTGCGTGAACTTATCACTGATGCTGCTAATTATAATTGTTGGTAAATCCATATCCATATAGAAATCTTCAGATGCTTCATTCCCCAATGCCAGTTTAGCCAAGATAATTCGATCTTCGGAGCGTAGTAAAGGTGAAGTGTTGAGCACCAGCGCAGAACGCTCTTGGATCGCACATAAGTGTTTGCAATAACGGCCACCTTGACCAAATGGGCAATCGCATAATGCTATATCTACATATGCGGTGTAAAAAAGATGTTTATCTTCGGCCGAAGAAATTCTGTACGTGTTTGAGTCAATTTTATGTACATCGAGAGATTTTGCCTTCTTAGAGAATACCAAATATGATAATTTTGGCTGACTTCGCCTTGAATTAGCGAACTCTAATGAATGTTTCTTGTGATAGCTTTCGAAAACACTAACAATAAAGTCCACAAGAGCACATGCATTAAACGCCTTGCAGCGTTGAAGTACTATGTCTTCGAAAATCCTTATTGAAGCCTCAACATAATTGTTTGTGTTATTACCTCTGGTAACTGTGTCTTTTCTGAGGCACAAACACCATTCTGTTCTTCTTCCCCAAATTGATGCTATGTGACTCAAGAGATGAGGATATTTTTTGCATCGATTCTCCGTTAACATTGTATCATATTGTGATTCGGCTTCTTCAATGCAGGAAGAATATATTATGCTTTGAAACATGTTCATGATTGGTTTTCGATCAACATTTAAAATATGATTTCCGGATGCCCAAAGCCATCTCCAAAAAGCTTGCGCAAGATGGAATCAACACAGAAGTAAACGAGAATATGGATAGACAGAACTTAATGCATTACGTTCACTAGCACTGTCGTCAGTCATGAACAATAAGGAATATCCTATGCCTCCAAAACCATTTGTACCTAAGTGCTCCTTCAAAACGCTGAATGCTAAAGTATAGTTGCTCTCTGTCTGCGCAGTATGCAACAAGCTAAAGGAATTGCACCGATTTTGAAAGAAGCATACATAAATGTTACGCAGGTGTTCATTTGATCACTCGACCCAGTTGAATCAACGAAAACAATATCTTTGGAAAATGACTGTTCATGTGCACGCTTCATGATGGGAGTTAAAACCACAATGATCAATGGATTTTCCTTTATAATAACTTCAACTCCTTTAGCTTCATTCAAATGTTTCTTGTTTTCAATTACTTGGAAGATACTATCTTCACTGCGTGTTCCAAAATTAGCCGTCCTAAAATAAATAAGGATTGAATTTCAAATTGAAGAAACAATACCCAGTCCGCAGAAGCACGTCTAAATGACGTCAATTTCTGGTGACTAATCACCAGATATGTCGTGACTATATGACGACCATATGACGTGAATTTCACGTCTGCATATTTTTTAGTTTTCACCGTATTAATTCACTTTGAATTCAGAAACCAAATATATTGTTACTTTTTATTATTATATTACGGAAAAAAATACAAGATTACATAATATCGTAAATGAAAAGAGATAGGTACCTATTGTAAAATAATATAATGCTCATTGTTCTTATCAGTAGTTAAGACAACAAGGCTTCTAATTCAAGGGTTCAAAAAACACTCACTGGTGTCGCTAGTGGCGGTAGTGTCGCTGTGGCTGCGCTCTGTACTGGGCGGCGGCAAATTCGAATATTGGATGGTGACAAATTCAAATATTGGATGATGGTGGCGATTTCGAGTAATGGATGGTGATTTCGATGAAATGAATATTTGGAATTAAAAAAAAGCTGGTCGGGTGTGCTCTGCGCGAGGATTCGAACCCCGACCGACGGGCTGTGAGCCCGAAGCGCTACCATCGCGCCACACCACTAGACGGGAAAGTTTACGAGTTGTGAGAATGATACAGAGATTGGCAGTGGCTCAGGCACAGACTGCTAGCGAGTGCTAGCGAGCGATGAGACAGGGTTGCCAGACGTTGGAAATACTCGGTGTGCTACGTTGTCGGACGTCAGAATAATTCGGGGGGCTACGTAATACATAATTGCCGTTTTGGCGATGGCGTATGACGTTGGACATATGACGTATGACTTTTGACAGGTAA